TCTAACAAGTGCCCTCATATTTTTGAAAATCTAAACGTAGTAACTGAGACATAAAAATGCGAAATACTAGTCAAAAGTGAAGAGTCTTCTGAAATTTATGATTTATACACTTTTGTTTCAAATTCAAAATTCATTTTTTTAAATTACACAATACTCATGTAGCATATGAACATTTACAAATTCTACTTTTTTTGTGCACTAAAATTGCCTTTCCTAACATAAGCACAATCACTCCCACAAAGGACAATTTTGAATATAAGGTCGACTGTTTGAAGTTGCATGTTTGCTTCCCATTATCGAAATTGCAAGCTCATCTCATGGAGAACTGAATAAATTCACTCCCAAATTGGTAATAAACCGGCACTTGCAGCTAGGGATGGGTATCGTTTAGGTTTGATCTGATACCAGTACCAAACCGGTACTTTTGAAACGGTGCCGGTGCTTAAATGGTGCTCGAACAGGTGCTTAAAGAATGGAGAACACATACTTTGTCCAAAAACCTCTCATGTTTAGCTGTTTTTTTGTAAAAAGAAAACAATGTTAGCCTTTTCTGCAGCTATAGAGCATATATGGTATCACTCTTGGCTGGAAGCAGTGCTTAATCAATGGAAAAAACACTCTTGTCCAAAACCTCTCATGTTTAGCCGTTTCCCACTTTTTCTTTGGTCATTTTAGCCTTTTTGGCCAGGGTGAAGGGAGTATCTGCCATCAAACAAGAAGACAGCCGCATGTAACTACGACGGTGTTTGCTAGTTCACCTTTAGTGCATTAATGTAATAACGTGGTTAGCCTACTCAACGTAAATTACACACGAACAACATTAAGCTACTCGCCCAGAGAAGAACGGCTGCTGCTGCCATCATCATCATCCGTCATCATTTCTGCTACACTGGCAGGACTAGGGGCCACGACTCTCCTCTTCGGGTTCTTGGGTGATGTTGCTAACTCCGGGTCCGATAACAGGCACCACTCCCGCAGTAGATGTGCACAGTGTGAGGTCTCACAGCAAGCTATGAAATACTGTGCATTTCTTGGCTTTTAAAAAAAACACTATGCGTCGCCAGGTGTTTCATCAGATTTGAGGTGTTACCTCCTTTGCACAGTATCACAGTATCAGCTTAAAGCACTTGTTGCAGGCTGCTGAGTTTGCATCTTTTGCTGTGAAGTACAGCCAGACTTTTTATTCTGTAGCTCTGCTCTAAAAGAACGTATATACCTGGGCCTGCCTACTATCCTCGGAAAGGTAAAATGATTGGCTAGAATCCAAAGTGTATGACGTCTCAGGAAAAAAAGCACTGAAATAAAGCACCGAAATGTGCGCTGCTTTTCGGTCTGGTTACTACCGTTTATGTCAGAACCGATACCGGTACCCATCCCTACTTGCAGCAAGAAAAAACAAAAGTCCAGAAACACTGTTGCATCAGATCAGCTGCGTGTTATCGCTCAGTCACATTGGAGTAAAAATAAAATGTTAACCTTAGCGTACAGGGTTTGAATTGTTTTCACATTATGCGACTAACTGCAAGTAGTTGCGACAACCGACTAGCTGTCCTTAACTGAGCAACACACTCATCATCTAGGCAACCACTTTGGATCACATAGCGATTGCACTGGTTGCCTGCTGCCTGGCAACTGGTCTCCAAACAATTGTGGTCTTACTCATATCGACTTCAATTACTGTTTCTGAATTTCTCTATGAGGTACTGGCTCAACTCTGAATGCAAGCAACAGACTGTGTGTATACAACAGACTTGCAAGATGGTTAAACTGCATATGATTGCCATCTTTACTACATTCAATCGAAAACTGGCAATAGACCGATTACAGATGACTCGGTCTTATTACCGTTTGTTTGCATCTTGAGGCATTGAAGTCGTTTTAAAGACTGCAACTGACTGCAAGTACGACCAGGTTCCCATCTTGAAAGCAACCATTTCAAAGGGAATGAGATCGCATTGCACACGGTTGCAGTATTTTTAGGTTTGCTGCAGTCTCCAACCACCGTTTGTCCTAGTGTGACTCTAGCGTTATGATTTAGATTTCTGTGGTGAATCTTTGTAGAGCTTACAACGTAACCCACTTAAGCATCCGGCACTGTTACCAGCATTCATACTTTTGCACAGTGTTTTATATTTTAATCGACTTGGGGTTGTCTCCTGGTGCTTTATATGCAGAGCTAGCCACGATAGAAACTAAATGCTGGGGCTTTTCCCCCCCTCCTGGGTCCCTAACTCTTTGTTGCGGTCCATTTTTTCCCCTCCTTGGAGGTAAGCATAATTGTCCACTTCTTTGTACATTCTCTCACATCCATTCTGATGGTGTTGTCAATCTCCCTCCAGGAATTTGCTGAAATCTATGAGTCCTTATATTGAGGCTATGATTATTATTTCTTATACTGAGGTGATGATGGTTATTCTCTCACTGACAAATTCAAATTTTGCAACAGAAAAGTAGCCAGAAATGCACAGAAGGCATCAACAGTCTTGAAAAGCCCAATCTGAATAGTGAATTGTGGTTCCTTTTACAATGAGGTGCTAGTTGGGTTAGAGCGTACAGTTTCAGAGGGATTTGAGGTTAAGATATACCCAAGATGTAGATTTAACACAGAAGAATAAATCTTCCGTTTGGCATGTTGAATTTGTACCCTTTAAAAAAATAAATAAATAAAAATAAAACAATTCGTGGAAAAAATTAGTTATCAATACACTGATGCCAATTCATTACATTTTAATAGAAAATGAATTAAACAGATCTTCAAATTATTTAAGCAGGGTCACTACTCTATGACTGTTTATGGCAGCGGTTATGAAATGAATGAGGGTAAAGTGAAGGCAAAAACACCCAACTTGAAGAGAAGAAGATGAAAATCAGAGGGGTGTAATTTTTGACCACTGGTGAAACCAAATCAGAGTTAATCATATTTGTTGCCAGATTAGTGTGATTAGATAATAACAATACACATGCTGACACCACGCTGCAACAAATAAACACCTAAAGACCACATGTAGGGATATTTTTTTCTTTAAAAATTAAAGCAATGGTGGGTGCTTGCCTTGTACTGTATTGCAGAGTGTCTGCATCATGATAAGCATCATCATAGCAGACAGCATATCACGACAGCGTCATTACAAGTTTCCACTATACCCCTCATCTAAACCATTAATATGATACACAGTTTGAAGTTTTGAAATAAATTAAACATTGGTATCAGCTACAAATGAAGCCACATACACATCCTTAATGCTACTTCTACTTATTTAGAGTGTAGGCTTTTTGCAACAAGTTTACATAACATCCTGTTCTTACTGACTGTTGGAAAAAGCCAAGCTTCACAACATAAGAACCAAAAGACACATTAGCAGCAAAACACTTGGGTAATTTAATATAATTTCTTCTTTTCTGCTGTAACTACAGTGGAACTGTAACTCAGTGGGAAGACCAAAGCGTCAACCCTGCCAGCAGCATCAGTTTGATTCCCACTGAGGCCACCCACTCTAAAATGTATAAAAAGTGTGTGTATTCACAGTGCTTGGGATAAGTGTCAACTACATGCTATGTCTTATCTACAGTTATTTTAGTTGGGCTAGTCTGTCACACCCTCACATTTCTGAGCAGTAAAGTCTGTGGATATGTAGGAGTTCACCAAGTCCACTACAACCCACCTAAATTATCATCTACTCATGGCTGCTCTGAATAAGAAAGTAGCATTTAAAGTATCTCAGTAGGTACAGTCTATCCAATGATTGCAACATGTTCTGCAACTGGATTTCCTCACAATCCAAAAACAAAGGCGGTGAAAAACGCTCCTCTAGCCTTATACCAGCGTCTGGCGAAAAATCATTTGGCAATGAATTTAACATTTCATTGCACACGGAGGTAGGTGGTATACAAAATGCAGAGCTGGAAATGCCTGTAACTCAATGCAGGAACACATGCAGTCTGACGGCACATATGCTGCTGTGTTACTGACAACTAAATAAGGGATGATGAAGGTAAAAGAGGAAACAAAGGCTGCAAAATAAAACAATTCATTTCCTTACAAAAGGGGCCTTGCCACAAAAGCTAAAATCAATCCATTTATAATAACACATGCTTTCTCATCTCCCCCTCACACACACACACCTCAGTGCAGCCTGTACACATGCCAGATCTTGTCGCCCCAGGAAATGGGCTTCATACATCTTGTCTGACTGCAATAAAGCAGTGCCTAAGATTCTATTTCCAATAAACGTCGACTGATTGGAAAACTCATTCTAATATCAATTTCCATCTGGGCCCTTTAAAAGGCAATCAGCATAGCTTCATCTCGGTATATCATGGGCTCCTTGAGATGATGACACAGCACTGGCTCTCTCCTTCTGCATAATGGCCTTCTCCTATCAAGGCATCTGCAATGAATAATACCACCCATGAATGGGCTATTTAGTCTGTGTTCGCACAGATAGGGGCCACTTCCCTGAATATTAATCCAGGGTTTTACACTTCATATGGTTCTCTCAGGGCTGCACCATTTTTCATTCGGAGGACTGAGGCACTTAGTGTGATTTGGCACACTCATAGTTTCTCTCCAAGCTTTCTCAGAAGTGACAATGGTGATTACCAACAGAATTTCACTTTGTTTAGGACATCCAGATCCCACCAAACTACAATTTAAGTCAAAGAATTTCTTCGACGAATGTTGTCAGCAGCTCATCTCAAAAACGTAAGGTCAAAGGAGAATCTAACCAAACGCACAGCCAAATGAATTTTAAAAGAGCAACAACGATAATATTCAATATTCTGGATATCAGATGTCTGTTAAAGGATAACCTTGGTGGTTTTTCTAAATGTAATAATGTACAGGTCTGAACAGCTCGTTTTGCCTTAGCATTTGCTTTTCAAAAAAATAGAAAACAAATAAAACATGGCAGTCAAAGCATGAAAAGCCCAACTAAATGCAAAATTATTATTGCATTTCCTCATCTCCATAGAATTAATAGTCAAGATTTCTTTTTCCTCACCTTCCAGCCACTGCCCGCCTCCCTGTAGTAGGGAAAGTTATCACAGATCCACTGGTAGATCTCGCTCAGTGTCATCTTCTTCTTTGGCGAGCTGTTGATAGCAAACGTGATAAGGCTGGCGTAGCTGTAGGGCGGCTTGCCATCCTTGTGCTGCTGCACCTCCTCCTGGTCCAGCGTGGTGTTGGGATCGAGCAGGGCGCTCTTCTTTCCCATGCCGGGCCCGTGGGCATTCTGGGCATCAGCCTTGCGAATGGCCGCCTGCATGGTTAGCTGAGGGAGCCAATCCATGGAGGTCAGGCTGCTTTCCAGCTCCGACGTCATGGTGACGACCGGCTGGACAAAAGGGGGTGGGGAAAATGTGAAGGTGTTGGTGGTAGCTGTTGGTGTTGGTGACTGATGGAGAGCAGACCAGGTGTGGAATAACAAAGGCGAGTGGGGAATGAAGTTAAGGCTCCCTCAGCTCAGGACATCAGCATACCATCTTCTGGAGATCAGCTGTAGAGAAACAGCAAAGAGACATGCTTAAATAAGTCAACCAGCCTGTGTGATAAGGAGAAATTAAACGTTGGGAATGTAGAGAAGGAAACCGCTCCAATATCAAAAACCAGGCGTGTTTATAAAGCATGCTTATATTTGCTGTGCAGTAGATCACAAGCCAACCACTTTCTCCACCACTTGCTGCTCTGAAAGCTGACTCATAGCTGGGACTCCATCTGCACAGAGAGAGTAAATGCCAGGCAATTGTTTTCACAACTGCCAGCCAAATGGGGGAACGGCTCAGGAGGAATTCCGACTCTCTTGAGGGTAGTAAACCCCCTCTCTGTTCTTCCCTGCCTGCCTCCTTCCCCACCACCCCTTCCCCCTCAAATCGACCCTCTGCTGTAAACAAGCCAGCTAGTGTCATCTTGCAAACTGTCCTCGGCACCGCGCGTTTCGCCGCCCGTAACAGCCTGTCTCGCTGTCCCTCTCGGCACACTGCCCTCTGCGTCTTAAAATAGGGGGGCAGAGAAAAGCCTAAAGTTACCAAGATAGGTTAAAGGACGTACGTGTGTGTGTGCGAGAGAGAGCGCGAGAGAGAGAGAGAGAGAGCGAGAGAGAGAGAGAGAGCGAGAGAGAGAGCGAGAGAGAGAGCGAATGAAAATGCAATCAGGCTGAGGGGAGAATGAGGAGTCCTCACCGAGTTGTGGGATTTTTCTCTTGACTAAGCACACTCACACAAGTGTGTTTGTTAGTGTGAGAGAGCATGTGAGAGTTTGAGTGCATGTCAGGCTGGAAATAACACAGTCTTGACAACACTTAACAGGTCAAATATCTTTCAAAAATAGTGTTTGTGTACCCTTGTGATGCCACTGAACCAGATTTTTCAAACTTTTTAAGCACATTTGAGAATGAGTATTTTTGCTAAATACAACTAATAAATTTTACTTGTTATACTAATAATTATTTTTATTAAAACATGCTACAAAAAAGGAACCTCGGTTTGTCTGAATGCAGTTTTACAAGTATTAAAAATATCTACTCCATTACTGACATCGAACTTTTAAAATCTCAGATTTGTTTTATATCCGTTTACTTAATGAGCAAGTCAAAAAACATGGCAAGACAGACACAAAAAACATAATTTATATGCTGCTCTGCTTACCATCTGAAATGCATCAGGAAGAGTACGAAATTCCCAAATTGGCCGGCAGTTTGTGAGAAGCAGTATATGGCTGTCCCTTTCAATTGATCTCTCACAGTAGGGGTTAGCTAGTGCCCAGCAGCCAATTCAATATCTGCTATCAGTGCAGACAGGCAGAGCAGATGATGAAGGCATTTCCACACATCCAAACAGAATTCGGAGAAAGGAAAAACCAAAACCGGCTGCGGGAGATCATTAATGGATTGGCGCAGTGGTCTTAAATCTTCCCTTAGTATAATCAGGGTCAGGTTTCATCAGCCGCTGTTAAGTTTCTAATCCAAGTTTTTCTGAACAAAATGCATTAAAATATTTTATTCATTCCATTTCCTGCCTGCTATTAAACTGATATAATTCCTATAAAGGATGCTCCGAGTATCAAAAACTCCCATTTTCAGGGCTAAGAAAGATGGATCTGACAGAGAAAAGTAGCTATGGTTACCTTGAATTTATGCCAGAATGTTTCAAAAACTACTTTTATGTTTGAGCCCCCCCCCATACACACGCTATGTGTACCCAAACTCTGGGCGTTTGTAACATACAGAGCATGAAGGAAAACATAGAAACACTTTCTGCTGGAAAATGAAAAGTTTAGAAAGATGTTTTGATACTTGATTCCCTCCTTGATATTGTTACCTCGAGAATCTGTGGTAATGGATCAAAATCAAGCTGTTCAGACAAGCCTTATGAAACTCAAACATATTTTGAATCTGTTGTTTTTATTCTTCATTAGCACTTACATCATGGCTGTTCACGGACAACACAGGAGAACTGAAACTTCTCCCCCATCCTCTGCAGTCATGAGCAGACTGATAAATGAAGAGGCTTGCTGACTGACTATACTGACAGGTGAGTCAGACTAATGGTGAATAACTCTTCCTCATCATACAAATAAATACAAGGCATCTCCACCCTGTAACTGAACTGAAGGTGACTCACAGGGCTGCTGACAGTAATTTTCCCTCTATGAGTAGAAGCCCACTGAAATACAAAACTAATTAGATTTTAAAATTAATCTACACATTATACACCGTACAGGCCTCCGGTACAGATTTTACATCAGTGTCGTGCAGTCTCTGAAAGTGCAGCCAGTACAGCGTCCATTTTGAGATACTATGTGGTACTCTTAAACTGATCTCAGTTCAGTCAATAGCCCATTTAATTGATGTTCACACTGTTAAGTAGGGTTGCAACTATTATTTTAATCAATCAATCTGCGGAGCATTTCCTCGACTGATTAACTGCTGGGCCAGCACACTTAGCTTTAATCTTGTGTCATGCTTTTGTCCTATCACAGATGTTCTGAAAAAGGCACAAAGCACACATGAATGACAAGGTATAACTATAATATCCGACAATTTGTCTTATAAAAATTTTTTAAGTAATTAATTTCTCACTGTTTTATTGTTGATCCACTATTTGACTAACTGTTTAGAGCTTGTTCAACACAAATAATCAAGATTTAATATGAAATACTTTGCCTACATTAAAAGAAACTAACCCCAGGTTACAGTCTGTCACTTAGTTTAGACTGTCAGAACATGCCCAAGCGACAGTATTGTTTGGCCTTTGATTTGAGTCTGTTGCTATGCAACATGCTGACGTCACAATACGTCACTGAAAGTTTTGTTGGTTTCAACTTGTTGTTACTGATGTGAAATTACGATACAATGCTGTCATAAGGTCCTGTAGGTGCATAAATGCTACAAATAGGTCCTTTTAGCCCATTTCTAAGTAGTTGCAAGATAACATGGCCATGTCTTAATATTCAATATAGATAAGAACCTTCAGGGGACCAAGACAGAGTAAAACACACACTGAAGTCAACTACAAAATAAAAGTTGACAAAATGTCAGGCAATAAGCCATGCTTATACATCAGTGTTTTTGTACAAGTATTTCTACAAGTCTGCCCCTCCTGCATTATTAAATACAGCATGTTGCCATCAGAAAAGCAGAAGAGAGTTAAAAGAAAAGAGAAAAAAGAGAGAGACTTATGTGTAACTGATAAACTTGCAGCATGATGCATCATTGCAATGAAAATGTTTTCACAAAATACTGAGCATAAAGGGGGCATGCAAGGAGGAAGCAGGCTGAGCCTTCTGTTGGCCAGCAGAGGTGAGGTGACTGAGACAAGGGTTGATGAAAAGTGCTCCGCCCGATACATGGAGACACATGCCATTTGACCCTCCACGCTAATGATCCAGCTGCTACATAATCTGCAGGGCCAAGATGGTGACTTAATTAGAAAACCTTGTGCTGTGGCAGGAATGATGAAGCGCAACACAAGGAGGCAGTAAGACGGCCTCCCAGCTGCCTTCATTATCCAAGCAGTGGGACAGTCAATGCAGGGATGTGCCCGAGCCCACTGCTGCATCACAGAGGGCTGTCTGATTACATACACCAACAGATTTGGGGGTGGGCAGAGGAGGCGGGGAAGACGAGAAAAGCCAGAGGACATGGAACGGTGGGGGTGGGCTTGAAGGGCACAACCTAGATGACATCAGGCCTGGTACAGAGCAGAAAGTGGAAATGGTCTGCATCCAAGGGGTCTTTGAGTTCAGGCTATATCATTAGGAGCCAAAGGGAAAAGGCTGCAATGCCACACACATGGAGACACTTTGATCTAGCTGTAGGAAAATGAGGTTCCGTCACTGTCATCGCCAACAAAAAAAAAGAAAAAAGAAAAACATCTTTCTCCCTCTCTCCACTTTAATTTGTTTTTAGAATGGAGTGCCAAGAGTATTTTTTGAGTGCTGAGAGGGAGAAATGGACAGTCAAATCTATTCTCTATTCAAGACTCAACATTTCTTTATCCTCCAGGGATTAATGGCAGATTTAGTTCTGAATGAAAAAATGAAGGCGTATTTGAAACATCTTAATTTACCAACTTCTTGACAGGACTTATCAACAGTCCTGCTGCCAGCAGAGCACTGACAGCAAATCAGTGATTGTGTTTGGTGTCTCAGCTACTAAGTTTGAAGTGGCTCAATCAAACTGACAGCATGGCTATAATACATATGCCAAGATATCTTTTATTCAAGAATCCCCAACGAGGCAACAAGCTGAGTAACGACCAGGGATTACTCAACGTAACACAGATTACGTCAACTCGTGTTAGGCAAGCATGTACCGAGCCACCAGTCAGCAACTGCGTCATAAAATCAGTGCTGTACTCCCGTCACCACTATTGCAAAATTCATGCCTGCACTTAGCAAGCACTTAAAATTTTAGTACCCCCACAACAATGCATGGCCCAGAGAGAAATTAATATTTCAGCTGTGATATTAATACTGTGTATGACACTTAAATGACTTCAAACATTTTTTACAGTGACAGTAAACATGTCTTTAATTGCAATTTAGAAAGCGAGGAGGGTTGATGAATGGGTGAATGTCTGCATGAAGTATACTAACATCATTACAGGCGTGTACGTACAGAGTGTTTCCTGGGATGGCTAAACAATGTCTGGAACCTTCTTCTGTGACATCGGAGGTAGGGATACACTGTATCTTTCCAAAATAGACAGTTTCATACTTAACCACGTTATGCAGCAAATGGTCGGATGCGAGGGTATGAAAATATGCAATCTTTGAACTCTGAACCACAATCACATCTCACTGCAGCCTTCTGAAAGACTTCCAAACAGCAGTGTTTAAGATGTGGTATGACCCAATCGGCGTAGATTATTACTGGATCGTGAAGAATAAAACCTCCAAATGTTCGGGTGTGTTTCCAGTTCACTCTTTACTTTGGCACTTACACAGCTGCTTTTAACTAGGTATTAATTACCATAGCTCCTTATGGCTAATTAGCAT